AGTTTTCATCCCATTTGCGCGCACTGAAACTGTTCTACAATCTTTTTTGTACAGGACAGCTCGCGATTGGAACTCTCTCCCCAACACTGTAGCTATCTCGCCAACAATAAAATCTTTCAAAACCAAACTGAGGCAGCACCTACAACTGTAAAAGGAGGAGAAAAAAATAGGATAGAAAGTTGGCAATTTTTATAGGTGTCTAAAACCATTTTTGCTTTCCTGACAATATGTTTATGTGTAGGTTAAATTTTTTGTATTGTAAAACTAAAGTTTACTCTTTTCTGTACAAAACTGCTGTTGTCGAAACAAAAAACAATCAATCAACTACCCAGGTCCATGATTATGATTGTCGTATACTGTCGTAAACTATCGTGTACGATGTTGGATACAACAGTAAATAGTATAGTAATTTAACATATACGTGTCGTATTCTCACATGCAGTATTACGATATCGTATTTCGTCAGAAGGGAAACGATAGTGTACAATGGAATACGACATTGTATACAATATCGTTTTCTATCGTAAGCTATCATGTTTCACCGTATTTCGTTGCAAATATTCGTATTTGTGGGCCTATTTTTATTTTTTAAGTTTCCAATTAAATTTTCAAAAGTTTTTCTCATCAATATTTTCCCATCCGGAACATATCCAAAAGTGTCCTTAAACGGTACTTGCAATAAATTAAAATGTAATAAAATAAACATGACTTTCCCTTAGAATTAATCATTCTTTTATACTCTGCTAGTAACAAAACAAAACGATGAATGAGAAGAATAAACACCATGAAAATAGTACGTATACTACAGTTCACAACCGTCGTTTACTTTTTGTGTAAAAAGTTTTGAAAATATTTTGAATAGACCAGTATGATCGTAAACGGCTGTCGTAACAGCATACTAGAGGGGGGGGGGAATACTGTCGTTTACCGGCGCGGCGCTTGGGCCGGGGTTTACCCTATAGGGTTGAGGGATCATTTTCAAAAATTATCGGCTGCAGAGAAGATATTGGGCTACTTGAAACTGAGAAAGCTCACGTGTGAGCATCTTATAACAACAACGGTAGCCGTAAAATGGAGTTCTTCCAATGCGAATGGAATCAGTTGTTTTGCATAGTTTTTCAATGTGATTAATAAAAGAACTATTCTAATAATGTAGAAGAGATTGCACATCAGTCTGATGAAATAACACGTAATTTTAACTCGCACGACAAAGTATTTCATTGACAAGCTAATTTTTTCATTGTTTCTCGCGACTTTGACCCGAAGTCAGTCATTTCGCAAGCTGAACAACAATTTCGGTCCACCATTTATGAACATGCGTTATGCATTATTAGCTACTTCTGAAATGTGTTCTATAGCATCCACCAACATCAGTTTCAAATGGTTAATTTAGATGTCATAATTAAAGCATCTGTAAGAATATTTGATTTGTCATCGAATTAAAAGTGACACGCAGTTTAACATATGGCTAACACGTAATAACATTACAACGACATTTTGATCAGAATAATGTTTTTAAGTATTTTCTATATTTAATCATATTTTTAATGCATTTAATGAGATAAAAATTGAACTTTTCTGATTAAAAAAGAAATATGTCTCTTTATTGATGAACAGTTTTGTGAAGTAGAAAAATGATCTCAACATAAGACCATTCTTCAATTTCCGACTTTTAGCGGACAGAATATAGTTGTGCTGATCTGAGAGACGATTTATTTATTCAGAAGAGCGGATGATATAACTTAAAATTATTACTTCTCAGACAAATTTTCTGTTTTGTAGATGATATATTAGGAAATGTATCTAGATATGCCACCCACGCAGCAAAGTTTTTGCCCGCGAACGTCGAAATTTCTGAGAAAATAAACTCTACGTCCGCCGGCGATTACAAATTTCTTTTGCGTTCTTCACGCCGATGACGACGAAAAGTCTATCGGCTAACAACCTTAAATGTATCTGATGTGCCCTTTGAATACAGATAATTCAACACTAGATGTCACTCGACGCGGAGCTGATTGAGTTACGGTAGTTGATATCACAGAACTCTTTTTTCATTTTAATATTTCTTCTTTTTGAATATATATTTATAGTACTTTTTAATCATGTCTCTTGTGATTTCAAAATATTGAGGGTATTTCCATAGAACCGCACAATACAATGGCATGCACATGTCAAATTGAGTTAGTTTCTGCCTGTCGCCTCATTCTTTGCGGTTAAGAAGCACTCATTTTTAAACGTTAGATATGTATTGTTTTTCACTGTGAAATACTTGTAAGATCCGATGTTTCGTCCGCAGATAAAAAATGAGTTAACATCGAATGGCCTATCACAGCCTGTCGACAATAAAGATTCTCATGATTATCCAACATTATCATTGTTCGAACAAACTCGACAGAAAAAAGTACGACGTTTTGAAAACAGAAGATTAAACACTTTTTGCTGGTTTATTTTATTTTCTTGCTTTATTTGTGTTACCACTACAGATAAATAGAAGGGAATTGTAAGAATTATATGACTCGAATAAAATCTTATATCTGATAGTTTCAATAAGCTAGTAATAGTTGTTCTGTATCAGTTATGAAAGTCGAATGCTCTGAAAACCTTGTTCACACCCATTTAGATCTATGTTTTCAATTTTAGCACAACTTCATAACAAATATTGTTATCATTGGAAGACTTCGAGATACATGGGACAAACAACCAGAACTAGGAGGTGTTCTTTCTGAAACTCTAGTTTATAGAGTAGAAACTTCACTCTTCTCTTTATATTATTCCTCTTCTAGAATACTATCAAAAAATGTTTGACGGATTACAAAACGTAGATGATTTTCAAGTTGATGATCGAGATCATATACCGACTGATAATAATGCAACCGGTTTATTGTTGATATTTCCAACACTTTTTGTACATTATCTCGAAGTACGGAGTCTACTATGTGAGTGGTGAATTGTCTCATTTGTAAATCTTTCAGGTGACGAGTGAAGCATTGCAAACAATTTTACAGGATGTGAACAGTATGATCCACGATGGAAATGGCCTAATTAAAGAAGCTTCAATCCTTAACATGTCATATAATGTATCCTTTTTTTTACTAATTTTTTTCTGAACATGCGTTCTTCTCTTGAGAGCAATTTTTTAAAATTTATCCTTAACCAATATAATCGTGTAGATAAATATGCGCTTGTATCCAAACTGGTCATATAAAAGTATCAAACTTGCTGTAGAGGATCTTGATGCACAGCCAGCAGAGACCGTTGAAGCGATTGCAATAGAAATACTTGGAAAACTATTGAAACTCGGACGCCATATAGCAGAAGAAAAACGTCGTGCTGTTGTGAGTATAACTTTGATCGTAAAGTCGTATTGATATAAAAATTTTCTTTTTTCATTAGGACAAAGTAACCGATGTGGTGGCACAAATTGATTTGTCTAGACCGGACTTATTACCAAATCAAGGTAAAGTGAGAACAGGCATTCTTTAATGTTTGCTGATCCTTACACTACAAACATCTTTAGCGAACGTTAATTATTTGCTTAAACAACCGATATTTCAAACAGCTGACACTGTTTTAAATAATTACAAACGACCGATCAATATTCGATTTGAAAGTGGTGAGTTTTTGTAGACATCTCCCTCATCTATTATTTGAAATCATCACGAAAGTTCTTTTCTTATATAGATCTTACCTGGCCACCAACACACAGACTGTTTCCAACATCCTATTAAAAAAAGATTAGATAATAGTGAATAATAACAAACATCAATTTAATCATTGAATTTTCAGACAGAAAATAATCCTTTCATAAAGTAAAAAATACACAGATAATGCATATCTAAAACTCAGAAATATGACGTGGTTTTCTACAGATTTTGTAATGTCATGTTTCTGTAATACGTCAGAATAAAATACGTGTCAGAAACATGACGTAAATTTTCTTTTTGTATATTTTATAATAAATTAAGAAAAGAAAAAATATAGTAGTAGGCAAGTATTTACCTACTAAATTAATATGAAGTTCTATTAATTCTATCAAAACATATGATTAAGAAATGTTTTTTATGAAGTGATCGATTAGTGTGAGTTGCTACTCCTTCATGGATGAATACATCGTAATCAATTTAAAACTGCTTGTTCAAAATCACAATTAATTGATGCAAATTACCAAAGCTACAGAATATACCCGTTTGCTCCGACGTCCGTTGGGGGAAAAGTCTTTGTTTCAGAGAAATATTTCAGAAAACTTTAGCAAAATAAAATTTTTGCTGAAAAATAACTGGACGGAAATATTTTGACACTAGTGGGAAGTTTCTCATTTTTACCGGCAGATTCTGCGCTTTTGCAAATTACCTACCGTCAATTCTCTTTTCACTCTGTACATGTAAATATCAGAATAATAATTGATATTTGAGACTTCTTTTATAGGAAGAGTTTCTAGATGTTCACTTTAAGAGCATGTCTAAAAAAACAATTGAAGTACCAGTAGAAAAATTTACCGGAGTGCAGGAAGTTTTTCGAAGAAAACTATACAGTAAACAGCACATGTAATAAAATACAAAAATGACAACATAATATCTCACACATTCACTGGCACATACCAGAGGACAAAAAAAAATAAAATTAGAACACTATTACATTGTTAAATGTAGATTACTTTGTTTAACTAAACATCCTGCGTTCTCTTATTAACAGCGTCCTTGCTACGAGAGGCGATAGTTAACCATCAAATAATCTTTTATTTCTTATTTTAATTCACCAGAATCGACGATTGTTACATTTCTTGTTGTAACGCCACTTTTTGTACCACATTCTTCAATTTTTTTCAAAATGTCCAGTCCTTCAATTACTTCACCAAAAACAACCTGAACAAAAAAATCATCAACTATTTATAAATATTTACTACTTGATAACGTGATTACTTACATGTAAATTATCTAACCAATCACATTTTACAAATGTGAGAAAGAATTGAGATCCATTTGAATTAGATCCTGAATTAGCCATGGATAATTGACCAGCATTTGTATGTTTTATTTCAAAATTCTCATCTTTGAATTTAGGACCGTAAATTGATTTTCCTCCAGTTCCATTACCTTTTGTGAAATCACCACCTTGAGCCATGAATTCTGGAATAATTCGGTGAAATTTTGTACCTGAAATATTAGGTTTGATTATTAAGATACATGATAAATAAACGTGGCATAAAAACCTTACCACGATAGCCAAATCCTTTTTCGTGTGTACATAAACATCTAAAGTTTTCAGCTGTTATTGGTACAATGTCAGCGAATAAAACGATCAATAATCTTCCACCCCGTTGCCCATTAAACTCAATATCAAGGTAAACTTTTGGATTTGTCGATGTTTTTAGACGTTTTGTTAATGGTTCAATTGTGGATTCCGCCTCAACCTCTTCTCCCTTTGGATTTGTTGTTGTTGTTTCCTCCGTTTCTTCATCTTTATTCGTAGTATTTGCCACGTCGCCCGAATGTTCTTTTAACCATTTATCTTCTGACCAGATCGGTTTCGATGACGTTTCTTTAATACGTACTGGTTTAGCTAAATTAACACGTATACATCTGCCAAATAATTCTGCATCATTCATATTATCAATAGCCATTGCGGCATCTTCTGCCGTTTCATACTCCACAAATGCGAAACCACGATGTTTTTGTGTTTCATAATCAAGTGGAATTTGAATTTCGAATATATCACCTGAAAAACAAGTTCAAAAATTGAACAAGAGTCCGTTGTTTTTTTTAAATACTAATAACATACCAAATGGAACAAAGGCTGCGTGCACAGTTTTCTCATCAACTTCTTCACTTAAACCGCCAACGTAAACCGTACGTTTTGGGTTGGCCATTAGAAAATATCTAAAATGACGGAACAACATAATTTCTCTGAATCATGCTAGGGAAACAAGTGCAAATCGCAAAAGTGACCAGCCTTTTGATACCTCTATTCGAAAATCACAACAATATAACCGTAGGCATACATAACGACCAAATTAGTCTCTAATCTAATAAAAATTCGAGCAGTAACACCGTGCCTGAGAACTTCAATACCAAATAAATTACACTTTTTTAAAATAATAGCAGCCATAGATTACATTAACATATAACTAATACTAGACTCATCACTAGGCGCCAGAGATAAGAATGAACATTGAAACGATTAATAGCCAATAATCTGATTAGAATACTCTTTTTTAAATTAACAGCAGTCATAACAAATTTGATTGTACAATAATTTGATTTCTATGAAATGACAAATACAGATGTACAAAAAACTGATGAAATTTTAACTTTTTAAATAATATAAACTAATCACAAAAAATTATATATTTGTACCAAAAAATATTGTGGTACACATGCTATATATCGTACTATAATTATCAACTAATTATTTGACAGAAAAAGAATTCAAAAAAAAAATAACGTCTTCATAGAAGATGAAAAAGAATTACTAATGTATTTGACAAAAGTCAATATTTGACTGATACATACATAGACATTAACTAATAAGTGAGTTTATCTAGATATATTTAATTCAAGCGTCTTTTTTTTCTTGAAAATTCTTGCGCTTTTTCCTCTCGCCACTCGCATATATCAACATAATCACACATCTGACATTTATATGCATCTTCAATATCAACACCTTTTGGTTCGCGTTCACCTAACCAATAGGGCTCTAATTTATCTAGTAATTGTTTTAATTTCATTTCATTACGTTCAAATTCTTTTCGTTGTTTATAAGTAGGATCAGATTGCAGAATATATTCAATTGAACCATGAGTAGTTATTGTAGGCATTTGTTGAACTAATTGTATGAGAAAATCAAATGCATGTTCTAATGTAGTGATGTTCAGGTAACCACTCTTGATATATTCAATGTAGATACTTTCGCTTAATATCATAGTCATATCAAGATTAAAACGCTTAAAATATAATTCTTTGTCTGTTTGTGCTTGTATTAATTCATCAATTAGTGTACGATAAATATTAACTTGTACTTCGTGCGTAAATACTTGTTGTGGACGTGGTGGAGCTTTTGTTGACCGGGTTTTAAATTCAACCACTTCTAAATGATTTTTAACTGGATCAAAATTTATTTCATCGATAATACCCCGAAAATATAGTCTACCACCATATAAATTACCAAATATTGGCATTTCACGTGTAATATAACGTTTGGTTGGGTTTTTCCATTTTATTAAACCGTCAAATGCTTGAATCATATTTAACAGCCGTACACCATATGAATCTTCGCGTGTGACGCATTCAACAGGTATTTTAACTTGAATTTCCAATTCACGTTCTAAATGCAACGACGTCCCACGAACAATGTGTGGTTTATCGTCGATACGTTTAATTTCACCTTCGTCATTCATCACATAGGGATACAAAAACTTGTAACACAATTGCTGTTCACACCAAATCTGTGATGATAAATCGGAAACTGACAGAACACCTAAAGAATAAATCATTTTTCAAGAGCAATTTGATAAATCAAGTAAACGATTAAAAAGATATCAGAATAAGCATAATTACTTCGCACCTCGACGATACTTGAATAAAGGATTCTTTAGCTGACTAGTTCGTTTTGCTTTTTGTTCGTCGCCCGATATAGCTAATTCTGATACTGGAGGCATATTTTCGATGTTATTTAAGTATGTTAGCAACTCATCATCGTTCACTTCATTATCGCTGGACGTTGCTGTTTGTTTAATCGACCCTTCGTTCAAGTTTTTTTTCTGTAAGATAGACTCATTGGAGGATAGTTTTAGTGAATCACTCGTTGAATCAGTTGTCGATGACCCTAAAACCAAACAGCATAGTATTGAACGAAGCGAATAAATATAATAAGATTGTTTGAGAAAAATTCATTACCAGCTAATAATTGTTCGATGCCATCAATGTAAGGTTTGCACGAGCGAGCTGGATTAAGCTCGGTAGGTAAAACAAATTCATAAATCCGTTGCAATTCTTCCTGCATGATCATTAGGATCTTTTATTAAATTCAAGTGTCAAAAAGGTGAACAGTTCTCGACTTAGTATTACACATCTACAAAAACATTGAAAGAGTAACATAATAGTTACGAATTTCTGTACGTTAAGCACTTCAGTTTTAAGAAATCAGTAACCAAATAAATCGCAACCAAGAAAATATCCTAAACATCGTAAATGCGATGGTATAGGGCGACGTTTATTTAACCCTTTTCAGCCGGTCATTTTTTAAACACAGCAATAAATGTAACCGTATGGCAACAACCCGGCTGGAAAGGATTAATTTCCAACATTCGAAAGATTATCGGACTTTCCCTTCGATTATTACCTCCAGACTGCTATGAAATTTTTCGAAATTGAACAACAATATCCCGATACTTTCAAAAATAATCGCTCCGTCCAGGAATTTCCTTTATACAACAATTCTGTTAGAACCTCTTTACTTCAATTCATCGTAGATTTTACAGATGTGGATTTCGATCCGCTAATTTTGTATGAATTCCAATAAATCAGTATCTTTTTGTCTAAGTTAACATATGGATTCTATTTTTCGTCCTTTTTCACTAATACAAACCTTGAAAAACAACAAAAACAACTGTAGAAAAAAAGTTTAGTTTATGTTTTTTTCCTGACTTTACAATATACACAACACAAAACGAACAAAAGTAGAAAAAAAACCAGTACAACACATAAGAAACAGCAAACAACAACAAAAATTTGATTTTTTCTCTTAAGAAAGTAACAAGCACAAAAACAGAACTCGAGTTAGAAATCGAAACTCAGCTGTTGCACAAAAAGAATCAAAACTAAGAATAGAGAACAATGTAATAAGGAAACAAAAATGAATATCAGATTCCAACAAAGTTAATTAATCGATTTTAGTATAAAAGAATAATAGGTTGATACATACACATTGTAAATATACAAACTAAAACAGAAAATGTATAACTGGCAGCAAATACAAACAGCATTAAGCACAAATATCCTGGAGGGAAACAGACAACTTACTTGCGAATCTCGTTCGTGTTCATCTGGCATATTCCACTTTAATAACTTCATTTGCTCGGGTAGGCGCCTAAAGAAAACAATGTAAACAACAATAATAGTTTTAATCTCTTCAGAACCACAATTACCAACCTTAATCGTTTTAGCACCAACAAGTGCAAGAGTTGTTTGTGGATGAGCAATGATTTGCATTGGTTGTTGGGTTTGTAACTGTTGCTGTTGTTGTAGATGAAGATCAGCGGCTGTCGATGATTGTGCTTTTTTCGAGCCAGCTGCAAAACGTCCACCCGATCCTCGAATACGATTCATTGCGTGACGATGACGTGATTCATGTAAAAATTTCTTCAACAAATCGCGAAAAAAAGCAAACAACAATAGTTTATCTTATAATAGGGTTTTCATACAAGGACCAAAAAAAGTATACATCTCTGAAGGAAATCAGAAAGTTAGGAAGTCTTCTCTCATCTGCGTGTTTCGCGTCTTTAAAAACTTTGTCAGAAAGACATTAGAAAGTGTTTGTACACCACATACTTTTCTTTCTCTCGGTATTCGACCTTCGGATTCAAGTTTCGCTCTTGCTGCACGACGTTTCAAAATACGATTATACTGTTTAGCATTAACATATAACGGTTCTTCTTCCGTAGCTGTTTCATTTGTTTGCATTTGTACTGCTTGAAGTTGGCCAGAATTTCCGGGTACCATCTAGAAAGAACAATATTCATAGGATTAAACAGAATTCTAGATTAAACTTAAAGTCAAAGAAATATACCATAATAACGGTTCCATTTTGTTGTAATGTTGAATTTGTTGCTGTTGCCGTTTGCATCTTCGACGGTGTTGAAGCTAATTGTAAGATTTGATTATTGCCACCGAGTTGTAATGCACCGGCTGGAATTGTTATTGTTTGTGGTTGTTGTGATGATTGTACTCCACTTACTTGTAAAACTGAAAAGAAAAGTAGGTTTTAGAGAATACACACAGAAGAAAATTTGAAGAAAATAGTTTCGTACTTTGTCCACCGACTTGAACATATTGTGGCTGATTCGACTGCTGGTCGGCACTCTGTAAGATAATCAATTGGCCATCGGCTGTTTGCAAAATTTGTCCTTGTGGAAGTGTAGATGCATTGGACGATGAATTTGTATTCAAAATTATCTAGATAAAACAATAATGAATTAGGTGTTTTCCAAGAAAATCAAATGGAAATCAAACACAAGCATTAGAAAGATGAAAAGCATCTCATAGATTCTTCGAGTTTTTAACATGCGAAACGAGCAAACAGAAATCATTAGAATAATCCAGAGATGAACATGAATGTATGCATCATTCAACCGAGTCAGCACTTACTCGTTTAACACGATCTGGTGAACTACCGTCAGCCACAGTAACGATGCGCTACAAGAAACCAGACGATCTTTTTTGTTTTTGTCTGTAGAAAAATACTCAAAAAGGATGCTTCGATTATTCTCAGTAGGAAGGGAACAATAGTAAATAACGAGAAAAAAACGTCTATAGCACTTACAGATTGATTTCCACCACTTGTTCTCAATTCATTATTATTCAGAACAATAACACCACCGCCCGAAGTCGACTGTTGAATGTCACCATTTGTATTCTAAAGAAAACGTCGAATGAAACAAACTCTAACTCACTTGTTATGTCAACATACCTGAGATGCTTGTAACATACTTTGACCACTTTCGTTATCCATTTACGGCTAACATTAAAATCCCAGAAAACAAAATTAGTCAATTTCAAAGGTCAAATTTTGCTTTCAAGTTACATTAGGAATTTTAAAGTAATATCAGTTTAATTCAGAAAACGCCTGACATATAAGTCAACGATGTCCAAAATGAACTGAAAAAACATCAGTAGTTGAGAAAACTACATCAGTCATCAAGGGTCTATTATGATTAGTTAGAAAGCGATACGATATATGCCTAAACTGTAAAAGAAACCTATCCAGAATTTCTCCATTATGCACGATTTAATCACTTCCTTGGAGCACTTCACCGTTTGAAATACTGTGAACTTTAAAATTACTCAGCCGATGGTTTGAATTGTGCAATGACGATCATCTCTCGTTTACCTGAATGTATGTTCCATTTGATGGTCTTTTACTATATGTGACAGAGGAGTTTTTTCCAAACAGGTTACCACAGATTTATTGAAATTAATCTGAACGATGAATTTAAGCGAGCTCAACATCATTCTGATTTCTAATTGCTTTAGGTTTCATCTCCTAGTCTATACAAATAGTGTTCGTTTTTTCTCTTCGAGTATTGAAAAAATAATTATATTTATGAGTACCAATCGCCCGTTTGTGTAGGAATAACCACAAACGGATGTAAAAAAAACTCTTCATCATCTGTAGTAGTAGTAGTTTATACTTTTTGTACTTACATTGGTCAAAATAACGCTCCAACTACACAGTGGGTATAGCTTTTATTGGCGCAATGTCTTGAAGCTTTAATAACGACGACGAATCGAACGCTTAAATGACTCTAATAATTGGCCGAACAAACTTTTTCTTTCTTTCTTTTTCCTTAGTGGTTCTCTATCGACGTGTACACATTCTCATTTCTCTTCGTTTATAGAGGCACATGATCACTATTTCTCTTTTCATTTGGACGGGAGAACTAAGAGAAAAGCATCTGATAGTTGACGTTCGTCTATTCTGTTTCTCGAATAATCATACAATGCATCATTTTTTCTGCTTCTGAAACACGTGTATTTATTCGAAAAAAAGTTATAATAGAGGTTCGACAAAGTCTGTGTGTAGAAAATTTTCTATTATTCTATCTCTCTCTCTCTCTGTGTGTATACACATATTAGAGCTGCGACAAATAACGATTTTCTTTTCTATTTTCTTTTCTTATTCACGTTATATATAGTGTGTGCTCACGTTGCAATGTACGGTACACATATATAACATACATACGACTGTAACGTTCGTGCACACTAAGGAAAAGAAGGAAACGTAACATCATTCTACAACAGTCTTAATGTATGTTATATATGTGTACCGTACATTGCAACGTGAGCACACACTATATATGACGTGAACAAGAAAAGAAAAAAGAAAATCGCTATTTGTCGCAGCTCTGTTATATGCTTTTGCTTCTTTTCTTTCCGTTCTGACTGGAAGCTTTAATATTATTGTGTGTATGACGAATACTGTACACAAAGTACAAACGTATAGACTACGTTGAGTGAACTGAGCCGTCGTCGTTCTGTCGAAGAAAATTACTAAAACTTGTCGGGATGTTCTCTGTTCATATTATTGTTTTACTCTGTATGCAAGAGTGTGTGTAATCTTACCACTAAAAAATACTAAAATACTGTCTATTTATAGTTCCTAATCATCAATCATATTATCAAATTTCGAGAGGAATAAAAGCGTACTGCTATTCATTGCGACATTTGTTGATAGGAGCCATGAATATGTGGAGTAGTATGACCTTTTATAGTTCAATCGAGACTAGTGGTTTGCAGCATGGAATTATCTATTAAAAAGAACAGGACGCGAATTATGCGTTCGATATCGAAAGAAATGCTTTTGTGATGAAAGAGCTTAACATAAATTTTTTCAACATGAAAGATAATCTGTGAACCTTCATTTCAGGCGAAGGAACATGTAGATTTTCACATTATGCTTCACCCTCAACCAAGTTCTTCGGTGTTCAAAGATCTTGGCGGATGGGAATTTTTACCTTTATGCTTATTGGTATGTGGACTGTGCAAGAAGTGCGTCTTCTATAGTAACACAAATGCACTTCAGAATAGGTAAATTCCGTTGAAATTCAATAGATGAAAAAGAAATTTTAAAATTCAAGCCGAAAAATTAAAAGAACTCATTTGCAGAAGAGGATTTCTGTAAGCAAAAAGCAGGTATAGAGATATTCGATGATGTATATAACCAGTTAATATCAGGGATCCCAGTTCTTCTGATTTTGGCAGAAAAATTCTGATTTTTGGAACTTTTTCTGCCTCGTTTCTGCTCTTTTTTTGCCCTAAGGTCTACCGATTTTCTGATTTTCTACTTATTTTTCTCAGGTTTTTTTGACTCTGGATTTTTATTTTCTGATTTTCGCGTTTTGGATCTGGGATCGCTGATCAGCATTTTTGATAGGTAGCATAACGACATCATCGAATATTTCTGTACCTGCTTTTTGCGTATAGAAATCCTCTTTTCAAATGAGTTTTAATGTTTCGGCTTAAATTTTAAAATTTCATCTGTTGAATTTCAACAGAGTTTACCTATATCTGAAGTGTGCATTTATGTCACTATATGAGAAACACTTCTCGCACAGCCCACATACCATATCTAGAGTTTACTGAAAATCTTCAAGAAAGGAAAAATACCCCGTCTTGCGGCTACCGTTTCCGGTATAGACTGGCTGCTGCCGAATGGGAGTTTCAATAGTCCAACGTCTTCCTGTAGTTGACAAGCTTATGATATGATCATCTATCTCGTTACTAATCATCAACCATAGCTCTGGACAAAAGGCTAGCCTGACACAGCGTTCTTTCACCCAACGACTGATGCTCCCTATACATACCCACTAACCACATACTGGCTTTTCGGAAAGCTATACAAACTAGCCAAAGAAGCTATTGTACGTCAAAACGTGATGAGTATGCTGTCGGGCGGATAGTCACATAACACGAAGTCATAAATTACCTGTCCAAGGTAGGCGGTCGTCTAACACAGCACGGTTGGAGTACCTAACGAATAACATAATCACTAAGCCATGTGCTATGTTATGACAAGTGTACGATGCCATCTATCGGCTGCAAAATGTACAAACGAACAATATCTTTCGTGGGACAATTCTAGAAAATTTTTGAAGAAATTGTTAACCACTAGCGTACTGTTTTTGATTATTTGTAAATAGAAGGTTGATGGCACTTTTGTTTTCAGAATACGGATTTACAACAGATAGATGACTCTAGTTGTCACCAGTGATTTTGGTTTAACCGAATTCATTGGCCACTAGTGAAACTTCAACTTTTTTGCTAAGATTTTGGCAAAAAAATGTAAAATTTATCAAATTTCATGTACTCAAGGTCAATAGATTTGGAGGAGTTCTTGTATCAAAATCTCGGAATTACTGGTTTATTTTCAAAAGCAGGAGTGTGGTGAGAGGAAAAAACAGAAGGGGTGTAGTTTTATTTGAGAGAAAACCCTAGAACACAACATCATCCATCATCATAATTTCAAAACAAAAACTAAATGATAATGTTGATATGAATTTGAGCTTTTTTTCTCATTGAAGAAAAGAGGGGGAAAAAATTTTGCTTTCAACTATTTTGGGAGACAAAGTGGAAGAAAGCATGTGTTTGTTAAATTTGGATTAGATTGGTTACTAAATCTGGGCAAGAGCTCAGACAAAATTCTTAGGGGAAAATAGATTCCTAAAGGACAAATTTTTTTTCAAAAAACAGGAGGAGCGTACACCTCCTTACACTCCTCCTTTGGTTACGGCACTATTCAAAAGTGGGATTCCAATACTTATGATAACTTCGAGTTTTTTTCTTTCTTGAACATTCTACGTTCATTTGTGATCATGCTTGTAAAAATTATACCTGTCATTGACAAAGAAAGAATGTAAGTAAAATTTTTCAGTCGAGATCTTGGTTGCAAGAAATTATACTGTGAATTTTTTTTCAAATGGAACCATCCAAGTCCAGTATTTCACATGAAGAATGCATTAATAGTTGTATTGAATCGGTGCGATTCAGAATATTCATCCCTATTTTTTCCAGGCAGACAAACAAGAAACAATTTCAATGGCAAACTATCTGTTGATAGTCAAAAATGAAGCGCGACTTAGCTATAAATTTCATCCTATTTTTTGTTTCATTTCAATAGGAATATCAACGATTCTATTTAATCAATGCCGTCTTCCCATTAAATATTTAGCATTCAAATTATGAAGTTTTTTCAACACAAAATGTCAAGTGTTTTGATTCTAGATTTCTTCGATCCAAGTTTTTGATAATTCTTTTTTTAAATTAGAATATACGATACGTATTAAAGAACAAATAGAAAATAAATGAGAATGCAGGCTAAAACTGAACTCATCTTCATATGACAATCTTTTTTTTTCTCCAATAACGTGATATACGATTTTTGAAACAGAAAAGGTTTTAGATGACAAGCAGGTGACAATTAAAAATACTTCATTCTTAATTGTAATCGAGTACGTAAATCTAGATCCATCATTTTGACTTTTCAATGACTTCTCATTTTATTTCTCGTGTATATTTATCCTAGATAATTCTCTATAAAAGCATTTTGCATATCATGCAATCTATACCGTATTTTCTATGTACTTACTGCATTATTGAGTTTCAAAACAGAGATCAATCCTATCGAGAACCGAAGGTGAATAATCATCTAGTATAAGTATGGTGTCAAGAAAAAGAGGTGTATTACGCAGATTAAGCATAGAAAAATTAATTCTTTTTTAGAGAATTGAATACGTGCGAGATCAGAAATATCTAATATTTATTCTGATTAAATATGCAATTTCAAACGTTGAAAAATAAACAACATATTAAATATTCATCCAAACACGATTTCTCTTGTCTTGAACTTACACCAGATCATTGTTTTTTTTTGTCATTGATTCTTTTTTTTTCGTTGTTCATATTTATTAAGAGTCACATATCTTCTCTTTGTTCTTCCGACTACAAAGTCAATTA